CCTGCTCATAGAGCCTTGGCTCATGTCGGCTCTAGGGTGTAGGGTTCAACTAGTGTTGAGTTGCAGGTGTTGGGTTTTAAGTGGGCGCGCAGACATTTTTTGTCACAGTTGGGTACCATCTTGCAGTTTTAAGGGTACTTAAACCCAGTAGAGAATAACAATTTAAATTTCTAACATTATCCCAGCCATGAACTAGATTTGGGTACGGCAGGATCGCCTCGTACAGACCAGCTCTCTCACTGCGCCTCTCCATTACTGCAACGGAGTTGAAGCTTCTTGAACCGCAAAACGCGACCCCCGTAGAAACTCTTCACTTTGTATGCCCGTTGTGGTATCTGAGATGTAAGTTCCTGAACAAAAGAGGGTTTTGGAAAGAAATCTAGCAGAAGAGAGTTCTTAAAGAACCCTTAACCCTTTTCTGCTAGTGGGCTTCAGGCGAGAGAGGGAGAAGTTCAAGGACCTTGGTATCATCGAGGCGCGCAACGCCCCAACTTCCTGAACTCTCAACCCTAAACCCGAAATCCCTAAACCCTAAACCCTAAACTCTAAACCCTAAACCCTAAGCCCTACACCCTAAACCCTAAAGCCTAAACCCTAATCCCTAATCCCTAATCCCTAATCTTAAGCCCTGCACGCTTCAACCCCTAGATACTCTAAACCCTGATCCCTGAAGCACTAGGCCCCGGAGACTCCTATACCCTTGAACCCCTGAACCCCTGAAACCCTAAGCCCTAGCTTTCTCCCGCGTTTGTGTTCCTTAAGCATCGCCTCTGCCGCTAAGGCTCATGTGCTCTTTCCCAACAACCAACCCTCCATGCCCGTCGAAACGCCTGGCAGACAAAGAAGTACAAAAGTCCTGTCAGCCAGACGTCTAGAAGGATCCTAAAAATTTAGATCCCCTTAAGGGTTCCTAAGAATGACCCAATAGAGGGGTCTGCGCAGCTCACAAGGCTTGTTGTACTTCTGAAGTGTTTGCCAGCTGTTTCGAGGATCCTCCCAGAAGTCTGGGCCCTTGTACAAGCTCCTAAGCCCTAAGCCCTAAACCCTAAACCCTAAGCCCTAAACCCTGAACCCTGAACCCTGAACCCTGAACCCTGAACCCTAAACCCTAAACCCTAAACCCTAAACCCTGAACCCTAAACCCTAAACATCCAACCCAGAAAGAAGCTCCACTCCGCTGAGGCTCCCGACGTCGATCCCGAGGAGCTGCGCCGAGCCCTGTGAACGCCCCAGCTCTTGGGGCGTTGAGGGTTTAGGACTGAGGGCTTAGGGTTTAGGGTTTAGGGCTTAGGGTTAGGGCTGAGGCTTTAGGGTTTAGGGTTTAGGGTTTAGGGTTTAGGGTTTAGGGTTTAAGGTTTAGGGTTTAGGGTTTAGGGTTTAGGGTTTAGGGTTTAGGGTCGAGGTTTTAGGATTTAGGGTTTGTTGTAAGGGTGGTTCGGGTGGCTGGGGTGGCTGGGGCGGTTAGGGCGGTTGGGGCGGTTAGGGTGGTTAGGGTGTGGTTAGAGTGGTTAGGACGGTTAGAGTGTGGTTAGCGTGGTTTGGGTGGTTAGATTTTGGGTGGCTCGCGTGCAAAGTCCCCTTCCATCCGAAGATCTCCTCTTGCAGGGAGCAGGCAGTACAGGGTCCAGGGGTTCCCACTTGGTCCTTTTGTGGCGTTGGCTTTGCTTTTCAATCCGCGCACCGAAAGTGGGGACTCGCTCCAGGCTGCCACTCTTCTAAACCGTAAAGAGCCCTCAACCCCACGTAAACCCCAGGTAAGCCCTACGTAAAACCCTGCGTAAACCTTACGTAGACCCTACGTAAACCCTACGTCCGCCCTGCGTAAACCCTACGTACCGGCGTGGAGTCTTGACGGAGGAGGCAAAGCAAGACCACAGAAAAGACAACCTGTCACAGCATGAGCTTCCCTATCTTGCTCCCACTTTTTCCCTAAAGCCCGAAACACTAAACCCTAAACCCCAAGCAGCCTCACATGCAAAGAGCTTTAGGGTTTTAGGGCTTAACCCTTAACCTTAAACCCTAAACCCTAAACCCTAAACCCTAAACCTTGAACCCTAAACCCTGTGCTTCACAAGAGAGAGAGGCTCGAGCTCTTGGAGGCCAAACGCAGCTGGCTCAGGTTCTCTGGGTTCGTTTAGGGTGTAGATCAGGGCATTCAGACTCGTACCCATAAGGTTGTACCCCTCGAGGTTCTAACGTACTCCTAATATGGCCCTTATACTCCCTTAGGGCTCCTGAAAAAGGGACCCCAAAACCCAAGGGTCCAAGGTAGTAAGTCCAGAGTAGAGTGTAGGGCTGTAGGGGTTTCCGGTTTGATGGGTTTATGGGTTTACAGGGGGTAGGGATTTGTAGGGGTCTGGGGGTTTATAGGTTTTAGGTGTTTACGAGATTTGGGTTTAAGGATTTAGGGTTAGTGTGTTTTCTGGTGTTTCGGGACGTTGTGGGGTTCAAGACTGAAGGTTTGAGGGGCTTAGGCCTAGGCTTCGGCTTAGGCTTAGGGTTTAGGGTTTAAGGGTTTAGAGTTTGGGTGTCATCTGGGGTGATTCAAGGGATAGGTTGTTAGGGTGCAGTGGTTAGGGCTTTTGGGGGTTTGTTTGGGGCGCATACCGCATCTTTCTGGCTCTCAGCAGGTACTGATTACCGCTTGACCCTTGAGATCCCTAAACCCTGAACCCTCAACCCTAAACCCTGAACCCTGAACCCTAAACCCTAAACCCTAAACCCTGAACCCGAAACCCTAAACCCTAAACCCTGAACCTTAAACCCCAAACCCTAAAGCCCAAGTAGAAAAGCCATAGGTGCAGCTACCCGAAGCTCTCAGCGAAAATCCAAACCTCGCGTTCGAATCTTACTCGACCAGAAGCATTCGTGCCGAGGTAGGGTTTTGAGCCTAGAGCCCCTAAAAACCCCTGAACGCTAGACCCTTAAACCCCTGAAATATAAGTACCCCGAACCTCCCAGTAGCCCTAAACCCCTAAACCCCTAAACCCCTAAACCCCTAAACCCCTAAACCCCTAAACCCCTAAACCCCTAAACCCCTAAACCCCTAAACCCCTACACCCCTAAACCCCTACACCCCTAAACCCCTAAACCCCTAAACCCCTAAACCCCTAAACCCCTAAACCCCTAAACCCCTAAACCCCTAAACCCCTAAACCCCTAAACCCCTAAACCCCTAAACCCCTAAACCCCTAAACCCCTAAACCCCTAAACCCCTACTGTAAACCCCTAAACCCTAACCCCTAAACCCGAAACCCGAAACCCTAAACCCTAAACCCCAAACCCCAAACCCTAAACCCTCAACCTTCAAACCCCGAACCCCAAACCCCAAACCCCAAACCCTAAACCGAAACCCTGAACCCTAAAGCCTCTGAAGCCCCCGAAATCCCCCTAAAACGGCTCCGAGGCCTCGAGAAGCTGGCTTTGATGCTCAGCCGCCGCGCGCGCCTCCAGGAACTCCTCGGAAGCGGCCCGGCGACCGAAGGGTTTAGGGTTTAGGGTTTAGGGTTTAGGGTTTAGGGTTTAGGGTTTAGGGTTTAGGGGGCTAATGGTTTCGTAAGGGTCTTAGGGGTTCTAGGGTTAGGTAGCAATGGGTTAAGTGTGTAGTGTATGCTTGTAAACAAAGGACTTTGGAGGGTTTCAGGCTTCTGGGCATAGAGGGCTTTAGTTGTTTTTGGGGGTGCGGGTTCCTCTTTCAAACAGCTTCGGTGTTCAATAGGGCTTCAGGGTTTAGGCGGCCTTGGGGTAGGTCGTTGGGGTTTAGTTTGTGTTTTGAAGGTTTTTTGGGGGGTTCTCTGGCAAGAACCAGTACGCTACCCTAAACCCTAAACCCTAAACCCTAAACCCTAAACCCTAAACCCTAAACCCTAAACCCTAAACCCTAAACCCTAAACCCTAAACCCTAACCCCTAAACCCTAAACCCTCAAGCCCCCTGTAACTTGAAATTATTCAAAGTTTAAAAACCGAAACTTTCCTCGAAACTTCCCCGAACCTGAGCCCTCCAAGCTCCCCGACTAAAGCCCAAACCCTAAAGCCACCCTCAGCCCCAGATCCCAAACCCTCGGCCCTAAAGCCCTAAACCCCGACCCCCGAAGCAACAGATCCTAAACCAGAAGCCCTAAGCCCTACAGCCCTACAACCCTAAACCTCCAACCCTTAAACCCTAAAGCCCAAAAACCCTAAACCCTAAACCGCAAACTCCAAAAAACCCCAAAAACCCTAAAGCCTTGAAACCCTAAACCCTAACACCCCCCAGAATCCCTTCGCCCAGGAAAGCAGGACGAGCTGGCGAGCTCCGGAGCCCTGGTAAAGCAGCGTGGCGCGGAGGCCCGAATTCCAGTGGCCGGTTGGATTTTGGGTTTTTAGGGTTTTCGGGGTTTGGGGTTTTAGGGTTTAGGGTTTAGGGTTTAGGGTTTTAGGGATTGAGGGTTTAGGGTTTAGGGTTTAGGGTTTAGGTTTGGGGTTTTAGAGTTGAGGGTTCAGGGGTTTAGGGGAATCTTCGATGTTGTTTTACTGCTTTGGCTGCCGGGGCTTGAGGTGGGCTAAGGTTTGAGGCTTGGGGGCCGAAGGCTTGGGGCTAAAACAGGGTTACCGGGTTCAGGCTTTAATTAACAACTGGTGCGCTACCTTAAACCCTAAACCCTAAACCCTAAACCCTAAACCCTAAACCCTAAACCCTAAACCCTAAACCCTAAACCCTACACCCTAAACCCCAAACCTTAAACTTTGAGCCCTAAACCCCGGAACCCCAAGCAGCCAGCCAGGACACTGCGCAACGCCAGCGCCTCCGAATTTTCCTGGAAACTCGCCGGCTGGCGCCGGTTCCGAAGGTGTGGACCCCAGCACATGATCTTACTAAGCTGTAGGGTGTTAGGGTTTAGGGTTCAGGGTTTTGGGGGAATTGGGGAAGAAAGTGCCCTATATAATGTCTGAAAGGGATGCGTAGACGGCTAGATCTGGCAGCTCTGTGGGTTTAGGGCAGTTGTAGCAGTCTTGATCGGATGGAAGCTCCCCTTCCCCGCCCCTGTCCCTTCTCTCCATGTGCATCCGAGGTCGCCGATGGCCAAGTTTCGGACTCACAAACCAACGTGGCAGCCGCCGAGGAGGCTGCCATGAAGGAAGAGAAGGAGCTCTTGGCCAAGGCATCAGCCAATTCAGCCAAGTCAGCAAAAGAAGAGCACCTGGCACGAAAGGCAGATGAGAAGGCAGAGGAGGAGCGCTTGGCCGTGGAAGCCGCAGCCAAGAAAGCGGAAGAAGAGCGCCTGGTGCAGGAGGCCGCCAAAGAGGCAGCAAGAAAGGCGGAGGAGGAGCGCTTGGCCAGAGAAGCTGCAGCCAAGAAAGCGGAAGAAGAGTGCTTGGCGCAGGAGGCCGCCAAAGAGGCAGCAAGAAAGGCGGAGGAGGAGCGCCTGGCCAAAGAAGCCGCAGCCAAGAAAGCGGAAGAAGAGCGCTTGGCGCAGGAGGCCGCCAAAGAGGCAGCAAGAAAGGCGGAGGAGGAGCGCTTGGCCAGAGAAGCTGCAGCCAAGAAAGCGGAAGAAGAGCGCTTGGCGCAGGAGGCCGCCAAAGAGGCAGCAAGAAAGGCGGAGGAGGAGCGCTTGGCCAAAGAAGCCGCAGCCAAGAAAGCGGAAGAAGAGCGCTTGGCGCAGGAGGCCGCCAAAGAGGCAGCAAGAAAGGCGGAGGCGGAGCGCTTGGCCAAAGAAGCTGCAGCCAAGAAAGCGGAAGAAGAGCGCTTGGCGCAGGAGGCTGCCAAAGAGGCAGCAAGAAAGGCGGAGGCGGAGCGCTTGGCCAAGGAAGCCGCAGCCAAGAAAGCGGAAGAAGAGCGCTTGGCGCAGGAGGCTGCCAAAGAGGCAGCAAGAAAGGCGGAGGAGGAGCGCTTGGCCAGAGAAGCTGCAGCCAAGAAAGCGGAAGAAGAGCGCTTGGCGCAGGAGGCCGCCAAAGAGGCAGCAAGAAAGGCGGAGGAGGAGCGCTTGGCCAAAGAAGCCGCAGCCAAGAAAGCGGAAGAAGAGCGCTTGGCGCAGGAGGCCGCCAAAGAGGCAGCAAGAAAGGCGGAGGCGGAGCGCTTGGCCAAAGAAGCTGCAGCCAAGAAAGCGGAAGAAGAGCGCTTGGCGCAGGAGGCTGCCAAAGAGGCAGCAAGAAAGGCGGAGGCGGAGCGCTTGGCCAAGGAAGCCGCAGCCAAGAAAGCGGAAGAAGAGCGCTTGGCGCAGGAGGCTGCCAAAGAGGCAGCAAGAAAGGCGGAGGAGGAGCGCTTGGCCAGAGAAGCTGCAGCCAAGAAAGCAGAAGAAGAGCGCTTGGCGCAGGAGGCCGCCAAAGAGGCAGCAAGAAAGGCGGAGGAGGAGCGCTTGGCCAGAGAAGCCGCAGCCAAGAAAGCAGAAGAAGAGCGCTTGGCGCAGGAGGCAGCCAAAGAGGCAGCAAGAAAGGCGGAGGAGGAGCGCTTGGCCAAAGAAGCCGCAGCCAAGAAAGCGGAAGAAGAGCGCTTGGCGCAGGAGGCCGCCAAAGAGGCAGCAAGAAAGGCGGAGGCGGAGCGCTTGGCCAAAGAAGCTGCAGCCAAGAAAGTGGAAGAAGAGCGCTTGGCGCAGGAGGCCGCCAAAGAGGCAGCAAGAAAGGCGGAGGCGCAGCGCTTGGCCAAAGAAGCTGCAGCCAAGAAAGTGGAAGAAGAGCGCTTGGCGCATGAGGCCGCCAAAGAGGCAGCAAGAAAGGCGGAGGAGGAGCGCTTGGCCACGAAGGCTGCTGTGGAGGCCTATGATAGCGCAGGAACCGTTATCTTTTATCTCAAGCATGCCCAACACAGCCGCAGCTTTGCGTTAGATTGCTGCGCGCATGCTTTGGCAAGCGTGAGCAGTCAGTGACAAGTTGACAAGCCCGAAGCTTCAGAACATTCGACCCTGAAAACCTTGCCAGTAGGTGCGGGCACTAAACCCCTAAATCCTAAACCCCTAAACCTCTAAACCCCAAACCCCTCAACCCCACGAACCCCAAACCATCCCAAACCCCTAAACCCTCGAGGCTCCAGGCCCCGCAGCCACGAGCACCGAGGCCGGTTTTGAGGGTTTAGGGCTTTGGGGCTTTAGGGAGGGCTCAGGGTTTCGGGTTTCGAGTTTAGGGTTTAGCGCTTAAGGGTGTAGGGTGTATCGGGTGTATAGGTTGTATCGGGTGTATAGGGTGTATAGGGTGTAGGGTTTCGGGAGTTTGTAATTTGAGTTGCCATAGGCTAGGCTGCCAGATGCGGAAAGGACTAGGTAGGCCCCTGGGATATCTTAATTTTCCCTTATTGGGTTTAAGAGGACCATGTTCAGATATCTTTCAGAGAGGTTTAAGGCCCAGCCTAGCAAAGAACGGGGTCTGTTGGGGTGACATGAAGTTGCTACTTGTGGCCAAAACTAGGGTTCATCGTATACCTCTGTAAATAAGCTTAGAAGCTCGGGTGCCCCAATATCTTAAATGTGATGGTCTTGTCAGGGTTCAGTGTTTGTGGTTTCTGCTAAGGGACTTGAGTGGAGTTCCAGCATGATATTGGGTATCTAGTTGCGACTGCGGTTTCCTCATTCTGGTTGCTTGGCCCAAGAACAGCGACCCAGGTGGTACGTTGGGTTTACGGGGGGTTTGGAGTTGAGTTTCTGCACGGGGCCCCTAAAAGTCACTAAGCCACTGAGCCACGAAGTCCCAAACCCTAAACCCTAAACCCTAAACCCTAAACCCAAAACCCGAAACCCGAAACCCTGAACCCTAAACCCTAAACCCTAAACCCTAAACCCTTGAGGACGCCAACGCCACGGAGCAGCAGAGGGAAGCCCGGAAGAAGGAGTCCCTCGAGCGCGCCTGGGGCACAAGCTGGGCTTAGGGTTTAGGGTTTAGGGTTTAGGGTTCACGTTGCATGGGATCTTCAGGAAGGCCCACTACAGTCCCAACATCAGAATCCGCCATGGCAACGACTCGAATTGGAGAAATCTGTTTTACGACCAGCGAGATGCTCTGTCCTTAAGTGGCTTTTGTACAGGTTACCACAGACAATGCATCGTGTAGAGCTCTGCTCATACCTTTATGAATACTTTCTGTCCAAAAGTCTATGTAAAGCTCTGCTTTACATCAGTGTTTGATCATGGCTCAAGGGCTTCCTTTCCGCAGCCTTCCCTGGGAGCCAGAAGAAAATGGCGTCGATGAGCGGCAGGATGTTGGCCTCGGCTGGAAGAGGGCTTTCCTCACTCCTCCTCTGTTTTGTCGCCAGGCTCAAACAGCCCAACAACCCAATTTCATCTCTCCAGCCATGCCAACAAAATTTGCCTTCATTCATTCTTCCAGCGGTGAATCCACTGCGAAATACGATGCTTTGTGTTGATGTCACTCCACTGCAGATGGGTCTTGAAGTTCAACTCCTTCCTCCTCCACAGGTAGAGCACGAACTTGAGCTGCCTAGTCGAGGGAAGCACTCTAGAAGGGTACTGGCCACTTGCGAGGTTTGGTGCCAGCCGATTGGCGAGTACCTCTTTTTGTCCTGTCACACAAAGGCCTTCTTCACGGAGTGCCGCCTTGATTTCCTCAACTCTCATCAGCATAATTGTATCTACGCACACTCGTGCCCTTTCCTCCTCACTTCCTGGCTCATCCCAACTGCTTGTTGCACTCGTAGCCGGAGATGCCAGTAGCTCATTTAAAGGTCGGACGACTCGGTGTGCTCGCATTTGCTTCTAAAACGGCCTGGGTCCTTGTAGGCGTAGCTGGTATCATGGATGTAGCTGGAATCGTGGATGTAGCTGGAATCGTGGATGTAGCTGGGATCGTGGATGTAGCTGGAATCGTGGATGTAGCTGGAATCGTGGAGGTAGCTGGACTCGTGGATGTAGCCCCCTCCAATCCTAGCCTCTCAATCTCTTGCACAATTGCTCGCTGGGTAGCCTCTTGCAGCTTCTGTAGCTTCCGAAGTCTTCGTGGTCCCGTCCCTGGAGTCCATTCTGCCATTCCAGAACCCAACCACTTCAAAGCTTCCCAGACTGCGACCACCCCAGCTATTGCCAGCAACACTAGCAACCAACATATCCCAGTCAACCGACAGCGATCCACCACCTGATTCCTTTTCAGCCTTAACTCCTGTAACCAACAAGCAGCACACCAGGGCCAACAGCACTCGGGCAGCAATCCTTGAGCTCGAAGGGGTCATAGTTGTCGAACTCACATCTTCAACCACCCCCCATAAGCTTAGGAGGTCTCCAATTCTCTGGGCCGCCAATGGTTTCGTCAAGAGATCCGCCCTTTGGAACTTCCCAGCACAGTGTTGTATGGAGAAGGTCTCGGCATCCAGTTGCTCTTGCATCCAGCCTGCCTTTATACGAAGATGTCTTGTTCTCCATCCCCCATTTCCGGTTGAAATCGCCAACGCCGAAGTACTGTCGGTGTTTACAGTTCTTGTTGATACCCGCATGTCCACATCCTGCAGTAAAGCTTCCACTCCAAGGGTTGCGACCGCGCCGTCCAACAGGGCAATGAGTTCGCTCTCCGCCGTGGAGAGTGAGATCACGGGTTGACGTCCAGAGCGCCATACTATTGCCGATCCGCCCCAAAACACCACCCAACCTGAGTGTGATCTTCCAGATTCCGGGGCGTATGCAGCATCACAGTACAAAGAAAGGTCCGTGCCGTCGTAAGCGATTGTCAGCTGTCGTCCCAATGTTCGCTGAAGATAACCCAAAGTCTTGGTTGCGATAGCTATCACCCGAGCAGGTGCCTTCGTCGTCAAAGCCGACATTAGTGAAGTCGCAAACGACAAGTCAGGGCGACTCCTCTGGGAAACCCATAGGAGCTCACCAGTGAGCTGTTGGGCAAGGTGGACGTCGAAGTCGTTAGGCGGAGAATCACTTTCCAACACAGCAAACGATGCTGTATCCTTGCTCAGCGGGATTCGGTCCTGTTGGGTTGCAGGTATTCTTCTTGCCCTCAACAATTCCCTGATGTAGGCCTCCTGGGTGATGCCGAAAGACTGCTGTCGTCCTTCTTGTAGACATATTTCCATTCCCAAGAACCTCAGTGGTTGGTGCTGGGATATCAGCTGCAGTTCCGTTGTCTCCCAAAGACTCTGAATCGCTCGTGCCAATGCAGTGATTGTCTCTTGAGCACCACATAGGAGAAAATCATCCACGTAGATCACTACTACAGCAAGCAGTGCCCCAGCTGGACCAGTGACTGTCCACCATGCCGTTACTGCCTTGCCTCGTCGTAGTTGGAGCACGGTGTCGTTCATGGAAACGGTGAGGGATGCCAACTCATGATCCCGGTATGTGCCCCACAGCCTTGGCGATTCCTTGAGTCCGTAGAGTCCCCGGATTAGACCCCACAGCTCGAACTCTTCGATCAGCTCCAGACGCTCCAGCAGCTTGGGTGGCTGTACCACCACCACGGGATCTCTAGGTGACCTTCCCATAGGGGTTTTCAAGAAAGCCGTCACCACATCCAGAATCCCCACTGTCCACTGGTTCTTGCACGTCAGTGTTAGCGCTGCTCGCACCGCCTCAGCTGGGGCTGCTTCTGTGTAAAGATCCGGATTGCTGTTCACCGCCATATTGCCACAAACCACCAGTCTGGCCTTTCGCTTGTACCATGTGGAAGGGTTGCGGAGGTCGGCCTTGTCGTTTGGCTTCACCGTGTAGACGAACTTGGTAGGGAGCCGCTGTACTCCCCGCTTCTGCAACCAGCTCGCCCTTAATGCAGTGCCTTTCTTCAATCTCTCTATGGCATGCTCAATGCTTTGGACCTCCTTTCGTATTGCTGGCAACCATGCATCGAGCGACTCCATGACTTCACGAGGATCAACATTGTGCACCACATCCAAAGGGGCCTTAAGGGAGGCCAGCAGCTCTTCAATCCCACTTGTGTAGCCCACCTCGGCTTTGCTCAACGACGGAACTTGAGGACCAAAGGAACTATTCGCATTCCCGCCAAGGTTTACCTTTCCATCTCCAACATCCATGAACATCTCCCAATCCATTTGATCCCATCGTTCTTGGCTATCTCCATGCTCGGCCCATGTTGATTCCGAGGCTGTTCCGGTCGCATCGGCCATGGAGACTGCAGGCATCGGAAAGTAGTATTCTGGTAGTTGGGATAGAGGTGGTTGGAAACCCAACTCTTCGAGCTCCTTAACCATGGGGTAGTCCATGTGTCCATGACAGTGGGGGGTATATCCAATGACAACAACTCGATTCCCCTTCCACTCCATCACCTCATGGGCTCTTCTTGGCGAAAACATGATGCCCTTTCCCTTCACGAGCGGGTGAACACATCCAAACGCTTGGGTACCTCGTACATCAAGTCGCTGACTAAGCTCACCTTGCACCACATCACCAGGCTGCAACTGGACCCATACTCCCCCTCCTACTTCTGGACAAACGATCGGAACCAGGTAATTCTGCGATGTGGCATCATTGTTGCTATCCTTGTGAACCTCCCGCTGTGTGTTGGTGGAGAGCAAAACCGCGGTGAACGTCGCCTCAGGCAAAGATCTTCGCAGGATTCGGGTAAGGACCTTGGTGAGGTAAGGATGTTCGGCAGTGGTCTTCATCATCCCAACCACACCTCCATGACGGTAAACCCCGGACTTGAAGTTGTCAAGAAGGCCCTCATTGAACCATTTCTCCACCATCTCCATGTCCAGGTCCTGGTCATCGATCTCCATGACGTGGCTTGCCTCCTCCTCAAGTGATCCCGGTCTCACCCTCTCGACCATTGCAACCCTTGGTTTTACATCCGCAGGATGAGTCTTCTCTCTCAGCCGTGTGGATGGCTTGAGGGCTTCTTCTGCCATCAAAGTCGTTGTAGGTTCGCCGGGGTCGACAAGGTTGGGCCTCACATGGAAGGTGTGGAAGAAAGTTTCTCCTCTTCCCTCCTCTTCAGGTAAGAAAACCACATGGCCTCGATCCAATAACCCACTCAAGCCCACGTATCTCCCTTTCATCCAACGAGCATCAAAGGTATCGGCACTCCTCCTCGGACCAAGGGCTGTATAGGGTCGCTTCTTCACATGGACAGGCGTTCCAAATGGAGCCAACAACGAAGACCTCCATCCCAAGACCCTTGCCCGCTGTTCCGCGGTTGCAGTTTCGGCTGCAGATGGCCAAAGTCGTACAGGTAGCTCACCTGCCATCAACATTGTGCGAACCCTGTCTTTCACCCAGCGAACTGTTGATTCGGCATGGCCATTGGATTGAGGAATTCCTGATTCTGCCCATGTAGACCTGATCCCTTGTTCTCGTAGCCAAGCCTTGAAGCTCGCCGAGTAGTACTCTCCTCTATCGGAGTGGAAACGAAGGACTGGTAATCCATGAGCCCCGAGGTACAGGATGACGTCTTGAAGGGCTCCCTTAATCGTATTCGCCTTGTTGTTTGGAACACCCACCGCAAAGGTCAACGATGTCATCTCTGGGGGCCTGCAGTCACCATTCCTCATAGCAGCATGTCCCTTGGTAGCTTCTTCTTCCTCGGTCTCACCGACTGCCTCGGCCTCATCATCGGCTTCACCGTCGGTCTTGCCCGGGTCCTCCTCCAGGTCCACCAGATTAAGGCCATTTCCCTCTTGATCCGCATCTCCATCTAAGGACGGCTCATACTCCAGGACATCGTCGGGAAGTGGTTGTCCTGGTTCCTCCTCCAAGCGCTCTTGCTCCACGTGATGTTCTGGCTCTGGCGAAGGTGTTAGGCCCTCATTTGGTGGTGGATCTTTCCCTGCATATGCCCTGGCGAACTCCTTCGGGAAGATGTACTTCGCCACCAGCAGGTATCTGAGGTTGCATGCCGGTGTTTTTTTGGTAGCTGAGTCCAGACCTGGTTTCAGGGGCCCCGAAAGGTCTGAAGTGAGGATGTAGCTGTCGGGGTGGTGGACTCGTGCATGGCGCTTTCCAGTTCCTCTTGCCATGACACATGTAGCACAGTCCCTCCTGTAGGGGAGGTGGGAGGCATCGACATGCGCCTTCCATTTTTCCGGGCTCATGGCATACACCTTCGGACTTCTGGACCACATGTGGAACGCCATCACCAATGCCTTCACGAAGCCAGGAGACCACCGACTCTGATCGGGACCTCGAGGTTGTTCCCTTGGGACGTGGTCACCGGTGATTCCCTCCAATCCTCGTAGATAAGGTACATTGGTTCCCAGCGTGGTACTCATTGAGCAGGCCGCCCCTGTACCTCCCTGGTCAAACGAAACCTCGAACATGCCCGTCTCATTCTTGAAGTCCTTCCAAAGGTTGGTTTCCCACAGATAGTGGCGATTGTTGGTTGACTCGCCCGAAGTGCATGTAGGTGGTCCTGGATGCTCGATCATGAACCCCACCTCCTTGTGTCTTAGCGCCCCCTTCGTCATCATCATCCTCCCAGCTGCCGCTACAACATACAGCCACAGCATTCTGCAAATTAAGGACAAGGGCTTCAGCGAGGGGGTCGTAGAGGTAGGTGCGAAAGACTTCCCATCTCTTCCAGGCGGTCCTCCAAACACCAAGTCCACCTTTCCATTCCTTGCTCCCCAAAGTAGCATTTCCCATGTAGGCGACGTTCCCAGCAGGTCGTGTCCTCGGCACTGTCTGATGTCCACCTCCAGGACGATGGTTTCGCCATCATGGGCCTTAAAGAACTCCAGGTGGCCTTCCTCGCCCGCAAAGAGATGGATTGCCCATTTTTTCGCACTCAACAAGGCTCGCCGTTGGGATCTCGTCAGGTAGGTGACCTTCTTCAGGGTATCCCATCCTCCTCCTGACTCATTCGCTGGTATCAACCCATTGATGCACTCCCCCGGGACTTCTTGCAAGAACGGTGCATCACGAAGAGCTCGTAGTCCATGCTCACGATTTCCAGAAGTGGCGTAGCTTAGCATGTACTCGAACCAGGACTTCTCCATGTAGGATGCCACCCTTGCAATCCGGTCCTCAGTCTCCAGGGTCTCGTTCTGCAGCTGCTCTCGCTTTCGTTCCTCCAGTCGAGCTATCAATGCCAAAGCCTCGGCCTCACACAGCTGGGGGCACCCGGAGTTGATGTTCAATTTGGTGGTCTCACCTCCTGGGCCGACGAGGATACACTGCTTAGGTGACCACTGCAGGGTGTATTCCAGAACCTTCACCAACTCTCCAAGTGGGACTATGGTTTGGACTTGCTCACCCCCAGGTCCCTTCTCATCTCCAGGTGGCATAAGTAGCGATCCCGCCGTGCTCATTCTCATCTTGAGCGAGTGACTGCCCGCCAACTGAACCATCACCTCATCTGCCTTTGTCCACTCATCCCAGGTTGTGGCTGTCCGGAGTGCATGAGTGGCCCCTGAATCCAACAAAGCTGAGGTCGTTGCCTGCACCGAGCAGACTCTGATATCCTTCACCACCAGCACCTTGGCAGTCGTTGGGGTTTTCTCCGGACTCTTTTCTCCATCCGAGGTCGGCGATACCACCTGGGCTTGCACAACTTGTTGGGCTGCCTGCATGAGGGTCTCAAGGGTCCAAGGAACGCCTTGGATTGGGAGGTCTCCACCATCGCCTGGTGTTGCACTCACAGATGCAACCCCCGGAGCTCGGGATGAAGTCGACCCATCACCCACTGCCCTGGTAGTCGATGATGATGTCGTGGTTGCCTTGGGCCTCGCTCCCTGCTTGTTGACCACACAATCCTTTTGTCTGTGGCTCTCCGAACCACACAGCAGGCACTTCCTTGACCGGGTTTCCCGATCAAGGCTTCCCATGTTGTGCGAGAACGAGCACTTAGCGCCCCTCCGGCACCCTGATGGCTTCATGAAATAGCGGCACATTTCAGCAGTCTTCTCCTTTTCCTTCTCCCTTTTTGGAGATGTCGGTGCCTCCACAGCTCTCACCCTAGGGCCTGAGGTTGTAGATGTCGTAGTCGCCGTGGTTGAGGCAGCCAGGGTTTCTAGCTCTGCTTGCAAATGTCGTTGGTAGTCCTGAACCTGCTCCAAGGTGGGTTGACCGTCAAGACGAAGACTCGTTCGGAGCATGGAGGTTCTGAAAGCTGCATCTGCAGAGCCGGCGATATGGGCTGAAGTTAAACCCATCAGGCCTCGAACCATCACAGAAGGATCCGGTGGGGCCATGTTAACTGCTCTGCATCGAGCCAGCCACCGTGGCCAGCTTCGCACCACCCCCAGAACTTCATCAAGACCTTCTCCGCTTGCGAACTCCGCTGGGTTTTGGAGTTTTTTCAGCACTTCCTCCCTCTCAGCACTTCCTCCCGGTTGGAACAGCACCAGCAAGCGGAAAATCATCCTAGGGCAGCTTTGAGTCACTCGCTGACTCACCATGTCGGTCTTGAGCTCAGGTCCCATAGCAGAGAGGATCATTGACGACACCCTTGCATTCACTCTCACCCACCTTCCTCCACACAATTCGTCGGAGCTCCCTGGGGATATCTGAAGCCTTTCCAATGGTGTCGCCGCCAGCCACCCTGAATAGGTGGCATTCACCTTGCTCATGAGGGAGTTCCACCAGAGGCCTGAGTTCTCACTCACATCCGCCATGATTGATGATGTCACCTCCAGCCAGTCCTGCAGCTGTAAAGCAGCTGCGCCTGCTCCATCCTTCGTCTTCAACTCAGGCCATGGAGACAGGGCCAGAGTGCCCGGCTTCACCTGCTCGGTGGTGGTTGGAGATGTTGCCCCCTTTGCCATGGCCTGTGCCTGCAAGTCCTGCAACTGCTTCATGCCCTTTGCCAGCATCTCCAATACCGGTGTCTCAGCTCTTTTCTCAGAAGATTCGGGTGGCGGTGTAGGGGACCTAGCCCGGGGCCCGAGCAGGGACTGCAAGAAACCACTGGGCTGTTGGGACTGTTCAAATCCCATCGTAGTCCTTCCCTGCCGCTGCTCCTGAGTCCTGTTCTCCGGAGGTTCTGATCTTCCTGATGTAGTTGCCGGGGGAACAGTTCGACTTGGAGGCTCGGCAGAAGGTCGTGCACCATGATCTGGATCAGTTAGGGGTACTCCAGGGCCTAATACTCCTCCTGGGATGGGATGAGGGGTTCATAGCCTGGAACTCGTCCAGGTACTCCCATACTTGTTGACTCCCGGGTGACCTGAGGAGTTGATGGCCCTGTACCTTGCGCCCCATTTTGCAATTCTCTTGCCCTGACCAAAGCCTGCTCCAACTCCACGTTTCGCTGCTCAGCTATCTGAAGCCTTTGCAATATATCTCCGAGTTGCCTTTGGACTTCAGCTTGGATCGCCTCCTGTGGGATACTTGAGGAGCTTGGCGGTGTGGGCGAGGTAACAGGTCGAGGCACTGGGCCCCGGATAGTGAACGCAGCACCTCCAGGGGGCGAGTGATGGGAGGCCTGGCTTCCTCCCAAAGGGCTTGGATACATGTCGTTGCCCGCTGCAACTGTCAGATATGAACTTAGCCTTGACACCCAGGCTGGCATCTCAAGACCAGCCAACCATTGCTGATTTCCCCCCAAAGTAGAGCGGGTTGAGCGGGGCGTCACAAAACCAGTCTGAGCTATCTGCCCACTCCCAGAAATCATTGTGTTGCGATCGGCTCCGCCGAGGTCAAGATTCGTCGTAGCTCTTGGGCCACCCGCCTGATCCTGCCTCGATGCGACTTCCCGATCCAGCACATTTCCAGCAGCCTGTAGTTCTGGCGAGGTCCCAGGTGGATCTGCAAACGATACTGCATCATCCATTGTACCATAGGTGCCCCTTTCTGCCGGCAGAATTTCAGCTCCAGACACTGTCGTCGATCCTTGTCCAAGTTGCTCGCTGCTTGGCGACAGAACATGCCCTGGATCCACACCATTCACCAGGGGCTCTTGCGGATGCACAGCACCAGTTTGGGCTAGCATAACCTCACGTTGCATGGGATCTTCAGGAAGGCCCACTACAGTCCCAACATCAGAATCCGCCATGGCAACGACTCGAATTGGAGAAATCTGTTTTACGACCAGCGAGATGCTCTGTCCTTAAGTGGCTTTTGTACAGGTTACCACAGACAATGCATCGTGTAGAGCTCTGCTCATACCTTTATGAATACTTTCTGTCCAAAAGTCTATGTAAAGCTCTGCTTTACATCAGTGTTTGATCATGGCTCAAGGGCTTCCTTTCCGCAGCCTTCCCTGGGAGCCAGAAGAAAATGGCGTCGATGAGCGGCAGGATGTTGGCCTCGGCTGGAAGAGGGCTTTCCTCAAGGGTTTAGGGTTTAGGGTTTAGGGTTTAGGGTTTAGGGTTTAGGGTTTAGGGTTTAGGGTTTACGGTTTACGGTTTAGGGTTTAGGGTTTAGAATTTAGGGTTCAGCTGCCTACTTGGCGGGGTTCATGAGGGTTTAGGGTTCAGGTTTAGGGTTTAGGGGTTTAGGGTTTAGAGTTTAGGGTTTAGGGTTTAGGGTTTAGGGTTTCGGGTTTACCCACGAGCCAAGTGAGGAATGAAGAGCCTCCTGCAGCGGAAGAGACAGGAGGAGTCACAAGTGCCACAGGTTGGGCCCCGGGGTCGACAAGCAACCCACAACCTGGTCGAGGGTTATTAAGGCCCAGGGCACATGAAGCCCAAAAGCACTAAAAGTCCCTCAAGCAACAAAGCCTAAACCCTATAAACCCCGTAAATCCCACAAGCCACGTGAACCTCATGAACCCCACAAAACCCCTTAAGCCCTCCATACATAAACCCATGAACCCCATGAACCCCTTAAACCCCATACCCTTAAACCCCTAAACCCTAAACCCTAAACCCTTAAATCCCTAAGGAGCAAGGAGAGTCGACCCCCTTTGGGGAATCACCATACACGAATAGTGTCACTGGTTCTTCGGGTTTGAGGGTTTAGAGGGTTTATAGGGTTGAAGTTAAGGGTTCATAGGGTTTGTGGTTGCAGGCTTTATGGGGTTTATCGATTTTTTGTGTTTATGGGGTTTAAAGGGTTTGTAGGGCTTTACAGGGTTTATGTTTTTTTTTATAGGGTTGAAGGGCTAATCGGGTTTACAGGTTTAGGCAGGTGCCCTGTATGTATGTATGTATGTAGTATGTATGTATGTATGTATGTATGTATGTATGTATGTATGTATGTATGTATGTATGTATGTATGTATGTATGTATGTATGTATGTATGTATGTATATATGTATATATATATATATATATATATATATTATGATTAGGATTATGATGATGATGATTATTATTATGATTATTAATTATTCTATTTTTTTGGGGGGGGAGGTGCTCGAAAGATGCAATCAAGGGATGCACCATGGGTTAAGAGCCCCTCACAGTCGGACGCGGAGTAGACCCTTCTTGCCTTTTTTAGGGTTTAGGGTTTAGGGTTTAGGGTCTAAGCCCGTATACAAAACCAAAAAGGGCGCCTCTTGTATTGCTAGGTTGCTCTTGGGTCTAGGAAGGGGGGAACCCTTGCGAAGAAAAGAAACTACAAACTGGCTGGTGGGTTGCGGCATATAAGCTGGTTAAGACCCTAGTTCCCCAGTAAGAACTAGTAAAATTTCATATAGATCTGCTAAGCACTAGATCCTCAACCCAAAATACCCACTCTGATTTAATGGGCCCTCATGCCTAACACTACTTGGAGGTTCATGGGTAGTTTTAAGTAGAGTTACAAGTAGGGTAACTATGGTTGTAGCGCCCTGCGTATGAGTACCCATGAACCTACACTAAGTAGCCCCTTGAGATATTTCATGCTAAACCTGGTTGGGTTTAAGAGGACCATACTTAGGAATAGTTTTCAGAGTGTAGTCGAGGTACGCACCCTAACCCCTGAACCCTGAACCCAGAACCCTGAACCCTGAACCCTGAACCCTAAACCCTAAACCCTAAACCCTAAACCCTAACCCTAAACCCTAAACCCTAAACCCTAAACCCTAACACGCCTCTTGCAGGCGTGTCGGCGCCAGGCACAGGCTCGGAGGGAGGAGGAGCAGCGCCTGGCGCGAGAGGCTGAGGCTGCCGCCGCGGCCGCCGAGGAGGCGAGGGTTTAGGGTTTAGGGTTTAGGGTTTTAGGGTTTTAGGGTTTTAGGGTTTTAGGGTTTTAGGGTTTTAGGGTTTTAGGGTTTTAGGGTTTTAGGGTTTTAGGGTTTTAGGGTTTTAGGGTTTTAGGGTTTTAGGGTTTTTATAGGGCTTTGGGGTTTTAGGGTTTTGGGCTTAGGATTCAGGGCTTTAGGGTTTTTTCGGGTTTTAGCAATTTGGGCTTAAATGCTTGGGGTTTGAGGGTTTAGGGTCGTAGGGTTCAGGGCTTCAGGGTTTTTGGGTTTCATGGTGCCTGAACAACACGGCTTGGTCAGGGGCAAGCAGCGGTATGACATCCGCTTCGCTGCTGCTGCTGTGAGGGTTTAGGGTTTAGGGTTTAGGGTTTAGGGTTTAGGGTTTAGGGTTTAGGGTTTAGGGTTTAGGGTTTAGGGTTTAGGGTGTGCTCACCAAAGTGTTTCAGCTGCTTCGGCCCCGGGACACAGCCCCTAGTGCGATCGCGGTGCGTGCCCTCTACAAGGTTGGGCCGTTGGGCCCTTCACCCTAAACCCTAAACCCTAAACCCTAAACCCTAAACCCTAAACCCTAAACCCTAAACCCTAAACCCTAAACCCTAAACCCTAAACCCTAAACCCTAAACCCTGAACCCTAGACCCTAAACCCTAAACCCCCTAACCCAGTTGCAGTGTTGACAAGCACCCTGTTGTGCAAGCCGGTCGTTTGCCCAAACGGACGCCAACCCTAAACCTCTAAACCCTAAACCCCCACACCCCCAACACGCCAAAACCCCAAACCCCAAACCCTAACTAAACCTCCCAAAACCCTGGAAACCCAAACCCGACACCCTCTAAACCCCAAAAACCCAAGCCCTAAGCCCCCGAAATCCTGAACCCTGAACCCTAAACGCAAAACCCCTAGGCCCTGAACCCTTCCCACTAAACCCCGAAACCTTACACAATATAATCCCTAAACCCTGAACCCTAAACCCCCTCAAACCCGAAAGCGCCCTGCAACCAGGCCCGTCAGGCCGAGGAGGCGGCCCGGAAGGCGGCGGAGGAGCGTTTTCTGGATGGTTCTTAGTAGGGTTTCGGGTTTGGGATTCAGGGATTTAGGGTTTAGGTATCAGGGTTTAGGGTTCAGGCTTCAGGGTTTAGGGTTGAGGGAATGAGGGAATGAGGGCCCTATACATACCCGTTAAGGAATGATATAGGGCGCTCATTCCCTCATTCCCGACTAAGAACAGCCAGTTTTGTCTGGGGCTGCTGCTTTCGCAAGCCAAGCAGAGGGCATAGGGCATAGGGTTTAGGGTTTAGGGTTTAGGGTTAAGGGTTTGGGGTTTGGGGTTTGGTTTAGGGCTTAGGGTTCAGGGGCTGAGGGGTTTCGGAGTTTAGGGGTTTAGGGGTGTAGGGGCGTAGGGGTTTAGGGTTGAGGTTTTGGGGAACTTCAATTGCCATGACGGGAGAACCATGGTATATGTACATGTATATGTATATGTATATGTATATGTACAGGTATATGTGTATATATATATACACACACACGTGTAATTTCATTTTCTGTCGATATGTATATTACACATTGAGTTGCCATTGCAAGAGAGCCCTGGTATACAGCCACGCCATATGTCATCATTAGGTGGCAGACTCCTTGGTGATTGCGGTTGCACATCACAGCGCATGCAGGCCGTTATCTGCTAGTTCAGTAGGCTTGAGAAAAGATTCTTGGATGAAAGACCAGCATTCCGCCCGGGTGTCACTTCTGACACGACGGATCCGCTACCAGTAGTGTCTGCAAGGCATTGCCATTGGCTTTCTCATCAACTTTGCCAGGACAGAGCTGAGCAGGACAGAGAAGCACGGAAGAAGGCACTGCATGAGCGTGCCTCGGCATGATCCCCCCCCCCCCCCCCCACGAACGGAGGGTTTTTGCACCAGCGTGCTTTTTTAGCAAGTGCATATGGGGGTCCTTACAAATATTGGTGAGCGTGTGGATCCCTAAACCCTTTCTTGGAGTGGATACTTGAAGGTTCAGGGGCACTTAGAAGTAGGGTTACAATGCCGTAAGTAAGGTTACAACCGCAACTACCCTACTTATAAGTACCCATGAACCTCGAAATACTCATCCACAAAAACAAGCCTACTTCGCATCATGCGATGGCTCACATGTGTGCTGCTAGACATGAACAACCTAGCTTAGGGCTTAGGGATTTGGGTGTAGGGCGTAAGGAGCTTGAGGATATGTGTTAGGGTTTAGGGCAGTTTAGGGTTTTGGGTCTAGGGTTTAGGGTTTAGGGTGCAAGGTTTAGGGTTTAGGGGTTGAGGGTTACCCTACGCCCGACACCCGACACCCTGAAGCAACGACGGCACCAGGGTCCCCTGCCTTGATGCGCGCCCGTCGCACATCCCTTACCTTTGGAGCGGGCTGGCTCTAGGTTTGGGGTTTTGGGTTTTGGGGTTTGGGGTTTAGGGTTTAGGGTTTAGGGTTTAGGGTTTGGGGTTTAGAGTCTTAGTAGTAGAGCAGTTAACCTTTCATCTTTGTTTGGGGTCCTCTATTCCCGCTATAATCCCACAGGTGAACCTTTAGTTCTTCTAGGATACTGGACAACTAGGTTAGGGTCCTTTGGGCTGTCGGTACGTTTACAACAGGAATCCCTGATTCGCGAGGCTTGCCCTAAACCCTCAAGCCTAAACCCTAAACTCCGAAGTTCGCAGCCCCAAGCCCCACACCCTAAAACCCCTCATCGTGCTTCAGCCCCCCTCAGTGCCCCCAAGGATTCAAGGGGCTCCTGCAGAAGAAGCGAGGGGAGGAGCTCAACGACTCCGCGCAGGTCCACGACACCTTAAGTCAACGAACATACGCTAGAATGGGGTTTAGGGTTTAGGGTATAGGGTTTAGGGTTTAGGGTTCAGGGTGTCTAGGACCCAGAGTAGGGCCTTATTCCCTTTTTTTGGGTTTTAGGTTTCCTTATTGAGCCTTCTAACCCAGAAAGGGTTTAGGGTTTACGGCGCTGCGAGCTCTCTCACGCCGTTTGGGGTTGAGGGTTTGGGGTTTAGGGTTTAGGGTCTACGGTTTTGGGTTTAGGGTTTAGGGTGTCTAGGACCCAGAGTAGGCCCTTGTTCACTTTTTTTTAGGCTTTAGGTTCCTTATTGAGCCCTTTAAACCAGAAAGGGCACCCCTTCAATCCCGGGGTTGCTCTTCGGTCTCGTCTAGAATCGTATGGGTTTAGGGCATAGTTTTGAGGAGGTAAAAAACGGTCCTTGTCTTCGGCTTTTCGATTGTGCAAAGCATGAACTTGACACCTTTCTAGTGTCGCGAGCGATTCTGCCAGAAGCCTTTGCGCATACCTTCTTGCTGCCCGTGCACTACGGAATACGCCTAAACCCCTAAACCCCCGAACCCCTAAACCTCTAACCCCTAAGCCCTAAACTCCTAGCCCCTAAACCCCGAAACCATTAAGCCACGGGTGTATTCCATTGGCGGGAGGCGGAGGCTTGCCGGCCTGAGGAGGAGCACATCACTGCCAAGGGGACAGAGGCCGGGGGTTCAGGGGATGAGGGGAGGGGGGAGGTTTAAGGGCTTCAGGATCTCCCATATTGCTGTTGTTGCTCCGTGCATAAGATGGGCTTGTTGGATGTGCCGGAGACCCCTTGGCAAGAAGAGACTCCATCCCCTGTGGCGATGCAAGGGACCCCAAAACCCAAGGGTACAACCTTAAGGGTCCGAGGTAGAACCCCCAGAAGACTTGGTGGACAAACCGGGTGTTTTTTGGAATGAAGTCCCCCACCCTTCCCCCTCCCCCACTGCATGTACCGCTAAGCACCAGGCTCTGCAAAGCCGGCACTAGAACCGTCCCCTAAACCCTAAAGCCGGAAGCCTAAACCCTAAGCCCCAAACCCTAAACCAAAACCCTAAACCCCTAAACCCCTAAACCCCCAAACCCCTACACCCCCAAACCCCTAAACCCCTAAGCCCCTAAACCCCTAAACCCCTAAACCCCTAAACCCCTAAACCCCTAAACCCCTAAACCCCTAAACCCCTAAACCCCTAAACCCCGAAACCCCCAAACCCCGAAACCCCTAAACCCCTAAACCCTAAACCCTAAACCCGAAACCCGAAACCCGAAACCCGCCCACCGAAGGCAAGCCAGGTCGAGGAGGCCTCCCGAAAGTCCGAGGAGAAGGAGCCGCAGGACGCCTGAAACCCTGAAACCCTGAACCCTGATCCCTAAAACCCTAAGCCCTAAACCCTAAACCCTAAGCCCTAAACCCTAAAGAAAGCAGGAAGAACTCTGCGAAGGCAGAGTTTTGGCCGGACACTGACTCCGAAGTGTTCATGCCGCGATATGTGGATCGACCGACGCCTGCGCCGCAGAGCGAGTACACGCTGTGGGTGACTAGGGAAACCTGGTGCCGCTTCATCATAGCGTCCGGGGACTCTCTGCGCCGGGTCGAGGTTTCAGCACCCGAGGGCGCTGATTCCGACTGCAGCTTGAGCTGTCAGAGGACTCGGATTCAGAGGCCCAGGAGTGGAAGGAGGCAGAGGTGACTTGTATGATGCTTGGTCTCCAGACGCGTGAACCTTAAACCCTAAACCCTAAACCCTCAAACCCTAAACTCAAACCCTAAACCCTAAACCCTACACCCTAAACCCTCTCCGTACACCCTACACCCTACACCCTACACCCTAAACCCTAAACCCTAAACCCTAAACCCTAAACCCTATACCCTAAACCCTAAGCCCTAAACCCTAACCCCTAAAACTCAAACCCTAAACCCTAAACCCCAAACCCTAAACCCTAAACCCTAAACCCTAAACCCTAAACCCTAAACCCTAAACCCCAAACTCTACCAAACCCCGAAACGCCAGGAGGAGGAGGAGGAGGAGCTCCGCGAAGAGCCCGCAGAGGCCCAGGGCTTCAGGAAATTCCCTTGGAGCTGACCCAAGGTAGTGTGGGTTTAGGGTTTAGGGTTTAGGGTTTAGGGTTTAGGGTTTAGGGTTTAGGGTTTAGGGTTTAGGGTTTAGGGTTTAGGGTTTAGGGTTTAGGGTTTGAGTTTTAGGGTTTAGGGTTTAGGGGCGACCGGGTCGAAACACAACCAAACGGGAGAAAACACAACCCCGCAGGGGAAAACACAACTGAACCATGTTTGTGGGCTGGCCCAAACGGGAGAAACCACAACTGGCTTTTGCGGTGTCTTGATAAGTTTGGACATGCCCTGCAGAAAATCCATGCATCCTTAAGGTTTCAGGACGAAATCTGGACAATGGTGGTTGTGATTCGTCCTTTCTCTTTGCGCCATAGCACGAACATCGAACATACAATACAATGCTACTTTACATTATATCAAATAGAACCATATAAACAGTTTCAATACATATATATGTATATGTATATATATATATATATGTGATTTATGTGTAGATATATAGAGAGTATGTAAACATATATATATATATATATGAAAGAGCAACCTTTCGGGTCTATTTAACCTCTCTTCTTTTCTATTTAACTGATAATTATTTAAATAATTTAAATTATTTAAATAATTTAAATAAAAATTACAACCCATTTAATTATTTAAATAAGTCGGGTGATTTAAATAATTTAAATGATTTAATTGAGACCAATTAAATTATTTAAATTATTTAAATAATTGAAAGAGGCCCGGGGATTTAAATAATTTAAATAATTTAATTCAGGCGAATTAAATTATTTAAATTGTTTAAGTTGATTAAGGAGGCCGGGGGATTTAAATAATTTAAATAATTTAATTCCGCGCAATTAAATTATTTAAATTATTTAAAATTATTTAAATTATTTAAAGAGGCCGGAGGATTTAAATAATTTAAATAATTTAATTCGGCCCAATTAAATTATTTAAATTATTTAAATTATTTAAATTATTTAAATTATTTAAATTATTTAAATTATTTAAATTATTTTAATGCTCCCAAATCCAGGCTGCGGGCCGGAGTCGCCTGAGAAATAATTTCCGACCATTTAAATTATTTAAATAATTTAAATAATTTAAATACTTTAAATAATTTAATTCCGGCCAATTAAATTATTTAAATTATTTCAATTATTTAAGGAGGCAGGGGGATTTAAATAATTTAAATAATTTAATTCAGGCCAATTAAATTATTTAAATTCTTTAAATTATTTAAATTATTTAAATTATTTAAAGAGGCCGGGGGATTTAAATAATTTAAATAATTTAATTCGGCCCAATTAAATTATTTCAATTATTTAAATTATTTAAATTATTTAAATGCTCCCAAATCCAGGCTCCGGGCCGGAGTCGCCTGAGGCCGAATTTCCGACCATTTAAATTATTTAAATAATTTAAATATTTAAATAATTTAAATAATTTAAATAATTTAAATAATTTAAATAATTTAATTCAGGCCAATTAAATTATTTAAATTATTTAATTTATTTAAATTATTTAAAGAGGCCGGGGGATTTAAATAATTTAAATAATTTAATTCGGCCCAATTAAATTATTTAAATTATTTAAATTATTTAAATTATTTAAATTATTTAAATTATTTAAATTATTTAAATGCTCCCAAATCCAGGCTCCGGGCCGGAGTCGCCTGAGGCCGAATTTCCGACCATTTAAATTATTTAAATAATTTAAATAATTTAAATAATTTAAATAATTTAATTCAGGCCAATCAAATTATTTAAATTATTTAAATTATTTAAATTATTTAAATAGGCCGGGGGATTTAAATAATTTAAATAATTTAATTCGGCCCAATTAAATTATTTAAATTATTTAAATTATTTAAATTATTTAAACTATTTAAATTATTTTAATTATTTAAATTATTTAAATTATTTAAATTATTTAAATGCTCCCAAATCCAGGCATCGGGCCGGAGTCGCCTGAGGCCGAATTTCCGACCATTTAAATTATTTAAATAATTTAAATAATTTAAATAATTCAATTCAGGCCAATTAAATTATTTAAATTATTTAAAGAGGCCGGGGGATTTAAATAATTTAAATAATTTAACTCGGCCCAATTAAATTTATTTAAATTATTTAAATTATTTAAATTATTTAAATTATTTAAATTATTTAAAGAGGCCGGGGGATTTAAATAATTTAAATAATTTAATTCGGCCCAATTAAATTATTTAAATTATTTAAATTATTTAAATTATTTGAATTATTTAAATTATTTAAATGCTTCCAAATCCAAGCTCTGAGCCCGCAGACTCGCGGCTCGATTTGGCCAAATTTTGCCCGCAGACTGCCCGGCAAAATTTGGCCAAATCGAGCGGCGCCTTTCTGAAGGCCCGAAACTATATAAACTCTCGCGGCTCGATTTGGCCAAATTTTGCCCGGCAGCCTCCGGGCAAAATTTGGCCAAATCGAGCCGCGCCTTTCTGAAGGCCCGAAACTATATAAACTCTCGCGGCTCGATTTGGCCAAATTTTTCCCGGCAGCCTCCGGGCAAAATTTAGCCAAGTCGGGCTGCTCTTTGTACGCGATAAGGAATGCGCGGCTCGATTTGGCCAAATTTTGCCCGGAGGCAATTTTATTGCGCGTATTTAAATTATTTAAATTGTTTAAATGCTCCCAAGTCCAGGCTCTGGGCCGGAGTCGCCTGAGGCCGAATTTCCGACCATGTAACTTGTTTAAATTATTTAAATTATTTAAAGAGGCCGGGGGATTTAAATAATTTAATCAATTCTGTACAATTAATTCAATTAATTTATTCTTTTTGTCACCTTTAATCATCTTCTAATCGGGTCATCGTTTGGATCTTATTTGGAAAGCATCCTTTGTCATAATCATATTCTATCGTTATCACCTTTTTGTTACCTTTTTGTTGTAATCTTTTATCATTTTTGTCATATTTTCATCATCTTTTATCATCTTCTAATCGGGTCATCGTTTGGATCTTATTTGGAAAGCATCCTTTATCCTAATCATATTCTATCGTTATCACATTTTTGTTATCTTTTCTTTTATCATCTTTTAATCGGGTCATCGTTTGGATCTTGTTTGGAAAGCATCCTTTATCCTAATCATATTCTATCGTTATCACCTTTTGTTATCTTTTTGTTATAATATTTTATCATCTTTTTTGTCATCTTTTTATCATCTTCTATCATCTTTTAATCGGGTCATCGTTTGGACTTTGTTTTTGAAAGCATTTTATCTTAATCATCTTCTATCGTTATCATCTTTTATCATCTTTTATCATCTTTTTGTCATCTTTTATCATCTTTTATCATCTTTCTGTCATCTTTTTGTCGTCGTTTATCATCTTCTTGTCATCTTTATTATATGTTTCCGTCTTATATCATTATGATTATGGGGTGAGCAAGGAGTCAAATCGCAAGCCCTGGTCCCTAAGATTTTCGGTTCAGCTTTTATGCCAAAGAGTTAAATCGCAAACCCTGGTCCCTAAGCCTATGGGTTCAACTTTTATTTCAACAAGTCAAATCGCGAGCCCTGGTCCCTAAGATTTTGAGTTCAGCTTTTATGCCAAAGAGTTAAATCGCAAGCCCTGGTCCCTAAGCCTTTGGGTTCAACTTTTACTCCAAGAAGTGAAAACGGCAAGCCCTGGTCCCTAAGATTCAACTCTCTGCCCAAAGAGTGACATCGCAAGGCCGAGAAAGTTTCAGCACAAAATGTGACTCGCAGTCCTCATGGTCTTCTGATGCTGCATGCAACACAGCGGCTCTTTTTTAAGACGTCGCCTCACAACACAACACCGCAGCGACCTAAGACCTTTGATGCACAGAGCTGCACAAGCAGACCGCGACATTGTGGTTGAAGCAAAACAAATACCCAAAAGATGTTAGTTTAGGGAACCAGCCGCACGAGACGCTAGGCCTGTGTGAATGCGAAGCCGTCCAGCAGTTTGGGTCGCACTGGCGTCTGTTATTGCTTGCTGCATGCGCTCTGTTACTGCTAATATAAATCCAGTCGTTATATTGCAGCATATCAAGCGGACAGATTGCATCAATAGCTGAGTCGTGCGTCAATCGCTGCAGATTTCTTGGCTTGCCTTCAAACTCCCTGTAAAGCACCTATCACTCAGCCAACATGCCTCTGAGCAGCCTGGATGCCGTGAAACGGTCCCTGCGGGTGACTCGGGCAAAGTTTCTCCAAAACGTAAAGGAATTGCTCAGGCGCAGGAGCAAGGTCGTCCGCAAGTCTCGGAACCAGCTCCGCAAGGCTGAAAAGAAGGTCAAGGAACTGGGCGGCGAGGTTTCTGAAGAGGTGTCAGACTACAGCTCGATGCTATGCGACACATCGTCAGGGAGTGACAGCAGCTCAGGCACAGAGGGAGAGCAGGCTTCCGAGGCACCTCCAAAGGAGATTGCCGCGCCCAAACGAAAGGGTGAGGAAGGGCCTGCAGCAAAGGCTAAGGTTGCTCCTAAGGTGAAGGCTTCCCCGCAGGGGAAACCTGACCCGAAAGCAAAGCCTGAGCCGAAGGCCAAGTCACGCAGGAGCCGGGCCACCTATCCCGAGATCCCACCAGGAGAGCCAGCTCCGAATCACATGGGCAAGCCGAACGCTGAAGGCGAGCGCTACCCAGGGTACCCGAGAAAGGACCCTCAACGCTGCGATGCGTGCGAGCAGCTCCGTCGTGGCTTTTCTTCCTCCTCCAAGGGACACCGTCCTGGCTGTCCCTGGAAAGCGCGCGGGTGAATGACGACAACGCCGCAAAGCATCTAAAATGCTCGGACTCTCTTGCTATGCACCACTGGAAGGTTTCGCCGCTGAAGTGATATTCATATAGATGCTCATGCCCACTACTCACCTGATAGCGTGCCAGGTCAATTTCTTTGTCGCGACGAGAATGAGCAGCACCGTGTCTGAATTGGTTTTATCAGTAATGCCTTACATAAGGTTTTAACCTTTATACAAAACGTTAGCACATATAAAAAACCTGGAAAAGTGACCGATATTATGATAGCACAGAATCACGAATCAGAAAAACAATTCATGCCTTGCGTGCTGGCAGAATTAGGTTTACGTTAAGTCGGAATGAGGCCTGAGTGTCAAAGGCCTCTGTGCTGCCGGGTCTAAGTTCGTTTCCAGTAACGTTAATAAAGAGTATATTTCAGTTTGCCTTGAAACGAGAGTACTATGTCAGCCAGTGATGCTAAATAATACACTTAATGAAAAAGTGTCTCTTCTGCGCCAGGTTGCCACACGCCTGTGGCCGACATTCGCAACTTTTTCCAGGCATCTGCTTCTGCTCCAGACACACGCGGAGCAACAACATTAGGTTCCTGAACTACAGAAAAAAATTTAGCTCGCGGCTATGGCCCCGCCTCTCTATACTCCAAAGCTAATGTTGCCATAGCAAGAAGTGTCTGGAAAATGTAAAACTTGCTGCTATGGCCATTGTAATGCCTTTACTTAAGACGCTGGTAGGGCAGAAGTAACAAAACGCATTGCAGGCAAAACTAACAGCGGGAAACACTTGCCCGACGTATGTCTCTACTCTAAAAACTCACACTAGAATCAGCGCAACAGGACAAGTAGTAAAAAATATGAATTATAAATAGCTGTATAGACGCCCGTCGCCACAGGCTACCTCGAGCCTCCGACATCCTGCGGCTGATGTTTGTGAACGCAGAAAGAAACGAGCACGTGGGCCATATTCATTCGCATCTTTATGTTATGTTCTTATAGTAGTGCCAGAGCTGCCATAATACATGTCGAACGTGTTTCATAACAGGACACGCTTAAGTCACTGCACTATACTTATACGCACCAGACATAGCACTGGGATGCATATGGTTAGTGTTACAATTGCTCCAACCAGCTTATTCACAACCAGGTGTCATTCGAAAGTCTCGAAGGCGTGCTAACAAGGCTTCTGTTAATATTTAAATACGTTGTGTGTTCGTGCAGAACATGAAAAGATACTGTGTTTGAGTTGAACACTAGCGATATGTCTTGAAGCCAAAGACGAAGCTTACCGAAAGCATTTATTTTTGGTGTATTGTTCCAGCATTCCGTATAAAAAACTTCGTCCGCTTTAAGCAGCAAAGGAAAACGTCGCAGTGAACGGAAGAACAGAATAGCAGCATAATATGAACCTGTACTTTGTAAACTGTGATAGTCGAAACTTTGCGTAGCTCAACAATCGCATACTACCGACTTCTGGTACTGCACTTAGTCAGATCATTAATATATCTATAGTCGGCTGGATGCATGTGTCGACACATGTGTGCGTACGCTTGCTGGTGTTACTTGTCGAGCTGCCGTTCAGTATGCCCTGAAACCGTGGCGTCTCAGCTCAAGCAGCTTGCGCCAAACTCCAGATATCTCCGCGTGCCTTACTAGCAAGATGCTGACTTAAACGAATTTAGATAGGAAGACAGCGTGCTTGAGCAAAAACAAGGCTCTTGCATTCCTTGTATCCCTGCTATCCGTGTCTTGCCTGCAAGAGAGCTTCCTTCAAAGGTACACAAGACATGCGTCAGGAATTAGCATGTCTGCATTGTCAGCGAAGCAACGATCGCAAAGATTTAAGGCATCTAGTACAGACCTGCTTGGCCGCTTAGGTACTCAGGATGCGCTGGTCAAGGTTGCAATGGTTTGTTGAAGATGAAGCTGTGCGTGCTGGCTACAAGATTCAGACTGTGTAGTTTTTTTCCTAATTCACACTAATAAATAAAAAACCAAAAGCAAGGTTCGACGCCGACCCACAATCGGCGAAGACACAGACCTCGTCGAAATGCTGCTAACTAAGCATCTCGAAGTCTACGCATTATGTAGTCAGCTTTACGGACAGCAGCAAGCAATTTTGGGCAAGGCCGCGCAGTGCGCGTTCCTCGATGGCGACACGATCTGTGCCGAACTTACAACATTATTGCAGGGAGCTTGCAAAACATGCGGAATACTAAGGACATCGGACACCGTCGTGATAACGCCCGCTGAGTTTTTGAAGCAGCACACGACCCAAGGACTTTGTTTAACGCCGCACCCGCACGGGAGAATATAAGATGTAATGATACCAAAGGTCGACGGCTTCGTCGCCGAGCGACTCGAACGAGCCACCTCAAAATACTATGTTTCTTGGCTTTCTCATGTACAAGAACACTTCATGCTTCTTCCAGTTAATGTCACGAATCGGTCCTTGCACACTCAGGACTACGTCTGCGAAGCGCAGAAAGCAGACGGCCAAATGCAGCGAACTGAGCGTAAGTCTGCGCGCAGCGTGCATCTCTGCAAAAACAAGCGAGCGCTAAGGGTGCATGAATGCGCAAGGCCGCTGGATCAGGATAGTGCCTGTTGTTCTCTTGACGCAGAGCTTGGACTCGATTACTCTTAAACATCCTTATCTACCCTCACTGTGCTTCCGAAGGAGCAAGCACACGCTCAAGATCCACGCTGACTCGGAAGCTTTGTGCGAGGCTTAACATTCTGGCGTTAAAACAGAAAACATATACTGTTGTGGAATTGAAAGCATCAGTGTCAGTCGCGTAGAAGCAATTGATGGCATGAAGCTAAACTTTGCGACAAAGTCGTATAATCCGGCACCTGTAAACGACTTTGTATCGGTGTGTATTTGGCACTGAGGACTGAGGACACCAAGCTACGATCTAAGTCTGTGTCTGCTCGTATAACAATACAGGTACAAGAGCAAAAATAGTACCTGCGTTGCAAGGCTACCTTGTCTTGTTGCAAAGACCAGGCCCGCTAATCTGATTGACGTCCAGAACAGCATCCTGAAGATCGATGCTGACTCCACAGCTTTGCGCGATGCTTAACATCGTGATGTTAAAACAGAAAACATATAGTGTTGTTGAATTGAAAGAATCAGTGTCAATCACGCAGAAGCAATTGATAGCATGAAGTTGAACTTTGCCAGAAAGTCATCATCCAGCGTCATAATCCAGCACCTGTGAACGTCTTTGTATCGGTGTGTATTTGACACTCAGGACTGAGAACACCAAGCTACGATCTAAGCCTGCGTCTGCTCGTATGACAATACAACCAGAACAGCAAAAGTAGCACCTGCGTTGCAAGGCTACCGTGTCCTGATGCAAAGACTAGGCCCGCTGATCTGATTGACGTCCACAACAGCATCCTCAGTGATGGCGAGTCGCTTGACCGATTTAGAATTAATTATTATATATATATATACATATATATAAATATGGCAACTGTTACTATTTGTCAGAACAGGACTAGAAACACGAGTCCACTGGCAACTACAGTGTCATGATGTGCGCGAAACAACAACAATATAGATTCATACTCCGCACGCTTCAACTACTGCAATAAGCAGAGAAGCAGGTGCGGTACCGTGTCTGCCGACAGACCTGAATCAGGCGACTTCATGTCCGGTGCTTAAGTAAATACAGTCAACTCTGCTTACGTGAAGTGCGCAACTGGAGTGCTTCCGCGAATCGCATTCGTTGCGCAGAACAATGCGAGGCAGTTATGAACAATAAGACTACAACGCAACAGCAGCCGAAAAGGTCACCATGCGCCGAACATGACAGCGTGGACAAGCTTGTCGCATGCGAGCTTGGTTCTCAGAACTCGCGTACGCGGCCAGCGCGTCTTTCTCGTCTTGCACTGAGGCAGTCTGCAATCGTCCAGTTGAACTGGATCTTATGGGCGTCCAAGCTTCAGCAAAGCGCATCTGCTGCAAATAGCGCAGCGTTTCGCAACAGCCATACCCCAGGTACATCCATCCGAACTACAACCCGCATTGGGAGGATCCGGACATGAGGGACGCAGCGTTCACGCGTGAGTCGACAGCTACGCGTGTCTTGTCTATGACAACTCGAGTCTGCCGATGAATCATGAAAGCATTGCGTAGCTTCTCAGGTACATCGTTGGGCTGGTGCTCCAAATGGGGCTGGGAAGTATGCCCAAATCGAAATCGAGTATGTTTCTTGACTGTGTTAGAGGGAGAGTACGTCACTCACGGTTAGCAGCGTGACGGTCGGCGAACCGATACGATTGCTTAGTGGACGACCTGGCCAAGAACGTCTTTCACCGCAAGTGCACAACCGCACGTGCAGAGGTCTCCGAGGTCTGGCAGCATTGCGCAGCCGCGTTCCCATTGCACTGCGCCTTATCGTATCTGCAGCTGCCAGGACACAACAAATTGGCGCATTGTTTCCAGAGCTAGTTGGTACAAAGGCTTTGGGCGAGGAGGAAGCCTGCTATGCTCTCAAAATTAAGCGAAGCACATGGATCAGTGGCCGCGCCGTGTTGTCAGGACGCAATTCCTTCAAAACGCGCGCAGGCATCCCCAGGACGACTCGACGTTACTTGGACGCAACATAAAGCACTGTGGATCTGAAGCCAAATCTGCAGACTCATGTATGCACGTAGGTAGTCGTCTGTGCGCGCAGTGGCTCAGCAGAGATCTTCATATAACTGGAACCTGCTGATTCATGCAACAGGTTCCCTGTTGCAGACAGTCAATGAGAACAAAACGCGAGGACCTTCCTGATGCAATGAGACTTTACTATCTCGACAGCAACACTTCCTGAGACAGGTGACTACAAGTACCGCGACGTGTGCCTCGTGAATTGCCTCCGGGCACACGGGTACAAAGTCGCCTACGAGCGACATGGGCCGCTGCTGGCACTTCAGGACGGCAACGCGATGCTGCAGCCGTTGGGGACCCTCAGCTTTTTCGTAAATCCAGTCCACAACGCTGCGCTTTCAGTCAGTGTACTGTCCGAGGAAATCCTAGCGACCAGTACAGCTGCCTGATGTAACTCCCGGGAGTTACATCATGTGCTAC